CCAAATTCAACTCATATCTTACCATTTCATCTGCACTATACTACATTAAGATCTCAAACACAGCAGATATTACAATCTGTTTTATTGCTACTTGTATACAGTTCTTATTTTCCTACTGGAGTCTGAAGTTACTTGAGAGTGTGAACTTTGTATTCTTCCTAGCATTTTGCTCACAGTTTTGCAGTAAGCAAGCACTGAGTAAATATCTGCTGCTAGAGTCTTGCTTCTAACATTTCAAAACCAATCGAATGTATCAAACACAGCAGAGATTACAATCTGTTTTATTGCTACTTGTATACAGGTCTTATTTTCCTACTGGAGTTTGAAGTTACTTGAGAGTGTGAACTTTGTATTCTTCCTAGCATTTTGCTCACAGTTTTGCAGTAAGCAAGCACTGAGTAAATATCTGCTGCTAGAGTCTTGCTTCTAACATTTCAAAACCAATCGAATGTTCATTTACCTTCCAGCCCCAGGCTCTGTCATCGCTATGGCACCGATACACTTCCCTGAAGTCATCTGGGGGATGAAATGCTTAATCTGTTCTTCTGAGCCATAGTTTGCAATATAGGGCATGACAATATCCGAATGAAGACTAAAACCTGGGCCTGTACAATTTGAATATCCTCTAAGAAAAAAATAAGAAAATTTAAAGCACAAAATAATTACTTTGTTCTGTTTTTAGTGTCTTTGATTTTTCAATTAAAAAACAAGATGTTAAAGGTCTTATTGTGTTATAATAGCCTCTCTTCTCCCAAACATATAAAGTTTCTGAAGGTTTTCTCTCTTAGTTTTTACTACTGTTTTAATTTCTGGCTCTAATATAATAATAGTACTCTAATAGAGCTCTGTATGAACACTTATTTAATGAATGAAAAGATAAAACATTTAAAAATGTTAATCACCTACAACTATATTACCTTAACACACCAACTGTTTTCATTTTGTCCAATTACCTTTACCATTACGATATATTCTAATGTAGCTGGAGTCGTGGTATGAATTTTGCACTTAACTACCTTCTTTTTAAATTATATGAAAAAGATCCTGGGTTTTTTTGGATATAGTTGTCATAATGATAATCGTAAATAGCTATAAAATATTACAAATTGCCCACTTACTATAACTTACTTATTCATTCTCCTACTGCCAGACATTTAGATTGCTTCCAAATTTGGGGGGATCATGATCTAACATGATAATGATTTCTCTACATAGCTGCAATTTTTTCTATTAAATTATTTCCCTAAGATAAATTCCTCAAAGCAGCATCCTAGATCAAAGAGCAGAAATATTTTCATTTTTTATATGTATTCATATTTTTAATCCCCAAAGCAGTTAGCGTTCTACTGTATAATGCCACCAAGAGTATATGAGTATTTTACTTTCACTGCAACCTTATCAGCACCGGTTATTATGATTTTTTGTTTTCATTAACTTTTGTAGATAATTAAAATGATACCTCTAGGTCAATTTAATTGCATTTGATTGGTAGTAAGGATGAACATTTTTCATCTAACAAACCTATTTGCATTTCTTTTTTTTGCTGAGCTGTTGGTTCAAATCTTTTGCCCAAGAACCAAGTGAAATCTTTATTTGTTCTCATATTTTAAACTTTCAGTATATTTGATGGACATATTTTTCCACTCTTCTGTTCTCTTTCAAATATCTTTTTAAAAGAGAGAAAATAACCAAATGAGTCAATTAGAAATGAAACTATCTCTTTAATTTTCAATAGCATCTATTTAAACAACTTAAAAGATTTTTCTACCTTCACACATTTAAAAAATGTGCAAAGAGTATACGAGTGGTATAAACTTTCACGTTTTACACTCATTTTCAATCACACACAAATATTAGAAAGTATTTTTTATCATCATCTCAGAAAGGTGAGCAGTATGCTTACAAACTAGACTCAACTTCAAATGTCCCCATACTTACTGCTCCTCCCAAACAACAGCTGCTGAGTACAAGTCCCCACCAATGCCACCATGATGCTCTGCAATATTGACACCAAGCAGTCCTTGTTTTCCAGCTTTTTCCCAAAGCTCTCTACTCACTTCTCCAGCTTTCTCCCATCTGCAAATAATAAACATTCTAAAATCAGAAAAACTTCTTATATATTATTTAAATGGTGACAATTAGAATTTATGAATGATTCTGTGCAGAAATGCTCCCTTAATTTGACGTAATTGTTGACATTGTCCATACCCTCCTAATTGCGTCTGACTTTTTTATCATTTCTCCTTCTTGTTCTCTTCCTTACTTCTTCATATTTGCCACTTCCCTGCTCCTCCCACCCACCCACCCCGCTCCCACTCTTGACAATTTATTGGACCTACAAATCACATTCACTGACACAACTGGTATTCTTAGGAGGCAAGCTTAGTTGTACCCCATAGTCATGGGAATGTGCTCAACCTGTCTTGTAAAGGCAACTGCCTTCCGCATATTTTCTAAAAGTGTTGAACTTATGGGAATAGCATATGTAAAAGCTGAAAAGAGCAGACAATGTTATTATAGCTTAAGAAGGAATGACAGAAGAGCAGAAGCATCTCGCGGCATAGTTCTACCAAATGAATTTCTGAAAAGATTATATGTTTGGGTGAGATCATGCAACCACTGCTTTCTTTCTTTAAAAAAGACAGTGGCATGATGAGGAAAGGGATGGCTAGCTGGAGACAAAAAATCTGAGATTTTTTTTTTCTTAAGTGGTAGGTACAGTTAGTAAGATACAGGGTATTTGGAGATACTAATTAAAGGTAAATACAAATACTTATGGAAATTTTAAAAGAAAGAGTTTGATTATCATGTGTTGTTTTGGTGTGTTTTGTGTACTGCCTAAAGTAGCTTTGGCAATATTTTTATTATCAACTCCAATTTGTCAACTTCTATCATTTTTACTTCAAGTCCTCACTGACAATTTTTCTGGAATGAAATTTAAAACAGTAAAGAAGTAATCAAAATATTCTCTTAGAGTGAAGTATACTACATTGCTTTTGTCTTTAAGACGCTAGTTGCTTTTAACCAAGGACAATCATTCTGATCACGAAGTATTACTAAAAACTTAATGAAAGCTATTTTAAATTAACTTTTAAAAATCTTGCTAATAGTAGTAAAGTACTGGCAATGAGTGAATTTGGAAACATAGCAAAATCCTATTTTAATAGAAATGACAGTTTTTTGGCCACTAAAGTAGGTAATTTGTAATTAATTACTCAATAAATATCTCCTCCAGTAATAAAAATACTTTGAAGTAGCCAATTGCCTATCAAGATTTGAGTTATGCTGGCCTTTTGAGCTTTTATGGATTTTAATCCATTCATGAAGCAGAAAAAAAAAAGACCATGAAATTGACTAATATTTTATTGCCACTTAATCAGTTTTCAAAAATACTGTTCTTAGATTGATTTATAGATTTTCAATTTTTTAAAATTGAGATATAATTGATATATAACATTATATTAGTTTCAGGTGCACAACGTAAAGATTTGTTATTTGTATGTATTGCAAAATGATCACCACAATAAGTCTAGTTAATATGGGTCCCCATACATAATTATAAATTATTTTTTCTTATAATGACAACTTTTAAGATCATTCTCCAAGCAACTTCCAAATATACAATAGTGTTATTGACTATAGTCACCATGCTGTACATTATATCCTCATGACTTATTTATTTTTTAACTAGAAATTTGTACCTTGACTTTTTTATTTTTGAATTCTACATTTTAAAATTCATTTATAAAGCTATGAACTAGCTTAAAAATCTTGTAATCTTACAGTATTATACTGAAGAGAGGGAAAATGTTCATAAAGTCCTCAATGCAGTATTTTTTCTGTAGAACACCACACAGTATTGTAGAAATGGTCCTTATTAGACTCCTGGTGTATATTACTTTAAAGAAAAATATGCCACTTACTCTGTGTGATGAGGAATCACTTCTTCTTGAAAAAACTTCCTTACACTTTCCCGGAAAATGTCATGCTCCGTAGAGAAGATTCTTCTAATTCCTATATCGGTTAATTTTTTAGCAGAAGAAGTTTCTAGACGTTCCTCTCCTCCGGAATGAGAATACCTTAAAAATATATATACATTAAGAAAATTAAGTGAATTCTTACTCTTCATATGCAAATTAATGTCACTGAGCAACATGTCCCCAGGCACACTTTAGAGGCAGGTAGAGAGTCTGAAATTTGAAAAATCTGTTCAAATTTGAGCATCATCACTTTTGATAGGATAGGACTTGCTTGGATGAGATGAAATAGTTTACCCTTATTCAACTAACTCTTCACTTCCAAATCCATAGAGAAAATCATGCCTAGAACTAACCACACCACATAGTTGAAGTAAAATAGTGTTGCCACATGATGTGGATTAAATTATGTAAAATTCAAGCATTACGACAAAATAATACCGTTAATTCTTTATGACATGTACAATGTTTACAACAATGCAAAGGCACCCCAACTTAGTAG